AGATGCAGCTGGCTGCTGTCAGCATCCTGTAAATCTTGGTGGGCGGGGGGGGGAGTGGAAAAAAGGATGAGCTCTTGGCCTTTATATGTCTGCAAACATGGAATCGCTAATAGCATGCGGCAGGTGACAGAGAAATGACAAGAATGCTAATGCTGACAAACTGCAGCACTCAGTCCTCGAGATAAAAACATGTCAAACTTGATTTGCCCTGTTTCCCAGACCAGAAAGTATTTGTGTCAGTCACAGGGATGGAGATTGACTGTTGTGGTAATTTATTGAGTGTTTGGGTTGGGGAGGGTGGTGGGGGCGAGAGGGGAAAGGGGTGGAAGAGAAAGAGGGGTGGGGGGAACAAATGTTTTTTTCCTGCTGTAATTGCGTAAACTTTCTCTGGAAATCTACAACAAAAGGAAATTGTCGGCCTCAGATCCCCTAGTGATTTGGGGGAGTTGATCTGGTGAGTAGCTAATCCGTGTAGATCCCAGGTTCAACCACATTTTGTACTGAGTTAATTGATCTTAAGTGGGGCAGTAAAGGGTGTGTGTGTGAATGGGGGGGGCAGTTGCAGCTAAAATTGGGCACAAGATTGGTTTGGATGAAAAAGATGCTACAGCTTATTTGACCTCATCCTTCCAGGATACCCAACCTACCATCTTCCTATCGCAGCTTTGAACTGTTCTTTAAGTGAATGCAGTGTCCTGGCCTCAACCACCTTCCTTGTCAACCTGCTCCAGTCGATAGTTGCCCCCCAGGTAAAGAAATACTTCCTGGTGTCTGTCCTGAAATTGCCCTTTGGGGCCCTGAACCTCTTGTTCTCCCCAATTGAATGCGCCCAAAAGCAATGTTCTCTGTTTACTTTCTCAATCCCATTTAAACTCATAAATGCCTTCAGGTGAACCATTGAATGTATGTGAGAAGGAGGAGAAGATAAAATTGAAGAGGAAAAGAAACAGCTGAACTGAAATTAGCTCTTAGGATCATTTTGTCTTAAAAATTTTAGAACGCACAGAATTTTGGGAGAAATCTTGTTTTTTGTAAGAGTTGCAAAAAAACAGCTTCCAAATTAAAACTGAACTCGAAGAATCGTTCAAATTTCTGAGTGATCTTAAATTTGCCTTAAGGCAAAATAGTCTTTGCAGCTCAGAGTAGGTGGAAATTTAATCCTGACATCTGATGGTTCAAATACCTTGACTATTTGACCAATGATTTGCAAAATACTTTGCTGCTGCTCCAAGCTAATTTATCGCCTTGTAGTTACTGAATATTTTAACAGTTGAGCTTCTTAAGTTAATATCCTTCGGATATATTTAGGACTGCATGATGCCAAGCTGTGTAATCCCACTTGTGCTAAAATGACCAGTCTTTTTTTGGAAGGGGAGATTAGGCTGATAGTTAAAAGTCTGGTAATACATACAGCCATTCCAACAGGTTATCTAATCCATTTATGAAAATGAAATGAGAGAGAGATTTGTAAATTTTCCATAATTCAATCTTTTTCTTTTCTTATCGCACTCGTGCATTCAATTTTAAAATATTAAGTTAAAATGAACCAGTCAGCGCGATTGAAAAATACAAGGGACTAACTGGCCTTTTCAATGAGTTGGAGCACGCTCCCATCGTCTCTGTGACCTGGGTTTGAAATCGACTCAGCCAGCCATTAGGTTCCCATGTGCAATGCGTTCAGGCAATCACTTCCCAGTGGTTGGCAGACCAAGAGCATAAATTGGCACCGAAATTGACAATCTCACTCAAGGGGATGGAAGAGCGGTGGATGGTGTTCAGCGTGAAATGATTTGCTGAGGGTTGAGGTAAAGCACACTGGGTGTGTTGCTCCACTTGTTGGTAAATCTTCCGATCCCGACAGCGATCTCCCATTATTTGCTACTGGAGGTAAAATTACCACCTCTTCTGGCTCCTTGTGGTTTAATTGGAAATCCTACCAGAAACGTACGCTGTGAAGGTAACAATGCTGCTGATAAGTAAGGGAATGATGGTGTGCACAACACTAAGGTCAGTAAATTTATCGAATTGGCCTGGCTTCATAAAATGATAATTCGATAATGCTTGCAATTTATGTTGTGCCTTTCACATCGGAGGACCAAATCAGGAAGGGTTTTGAGCAAGCACAAATTCAAAACTGGCTTGAGATTACTCCAAATCTCATGTCACATAGGACCCTGAGAGCCATCAATCGGAAGAGACTTTTAGTCCATCATTTAGGAGTGAATTCAACGCCAGTACACATGGCTGGAGCTAGTACCCACGGATTCTGGCACTAACCCTCTCTGGCATTCTTACTTCCACTCACTGTCAACTTCTGATGTTCCAGCTTTGTTAATAGCTGGAGAACCTTGTTAACTTTTTTACAAAGTTTAAATGTGCAGTGCAACATATGTGCTGGGAATATGTTGGCATATGGAGCATTACCATCACGTTGGGGAATCAGACACCGAAGGAAGATAATTAAGGAGTTTGGAATGCTTCCAAATTATATGTAGAAATCACATGATTTTATTTTTAATTTGATGTGTTGTACAGCTGAACGGTGCTGGGAAATTCACCAGTGCCCCGAGATGAACTTGATTATTCACTGCATAGCTGTTTGTGGGAAGTTGCTGTGTGAAAACTAGCTGTGTGCAAAATACAGTCACTACACTTCACAGTAAAATCCCGTGAAGAGCTTTGAGACTTCTTAATGACGTGATAAGGCACTCAATCAAGTGCGAGGATTATTATAACATCCCTGGGTCAGCTATTGTCAGCTCACTTGTTGAAACACTGACACGAAGGGTAATAAAGTTCCTTAACCATTATCAGTAGCTTTATTTCTCCATCACTGACTCTAGATTGAAGTTCAAATAGAAGTAAAACCAATTTTATTTTTAGCATATTTATTCCTCTTTTAGTTTTTCTTCTCTGTCCTGTTTTATTCTAACCTCAATTTTACATTTAATATCGAAACTGATCAGCTCTGCATATTCTAACCACTTTTTCTACATTTTGTTTTAAGTTCAGTAACCTTAGTGAAAGAAATCATTCATTTGACGGACTACCTCTCCAGTCCAATTTACAGCTATCTGAATGCCAAGGATGTAATTTCGACGTAAGGGTCAAAATTGCAATTATTCACAGCAGGAGACCTGCAATTGCATCTCATCCCATCATCCGTCACCTTTTGGTCCTGAACTTTAAAATTGCACGGAAGTGTGGAAATGTTTTCAATTTGTCTTAATTTAGTGGCTGCTTCTGTTTGAGAAACGCTGCGGAAACCCAGCTTCCAAATTAAACCTCAATTTATGACTCTTCCACTGCTCAGCGCTGTCTTAACTTTCCAGACAAAATGGCCTTAACATTGAAGCTTACTCCGAGTGCCCCCCTCCTTATGTAAAAGGTCATGCTTCATGTTGTGATACATTGCCACAAAGTGGAAACAGCGTTCTGCTTTCTCTCCCCCAAAATGTTTTGAGTCTCTGCCAGGACACTGAGTATTGTTAGAGTATTTAGCCACACTGAGCCATTACAGCTGACCCTGATTCTAGCCTTACCCGATGTTCACGCATGCACAGTGCAATTGAAATGCTGGGTATCAATCAGAAGCAACAAGTCTGAGTGATTTCCCTTTCCGCCTTCCCTGCCCTTCTCTCTCACAAGTGTCATTCATGTGCAGAGTTTATTACTTGTGCCTATACATAAGGGCTTTGTGTATCATCTAAAACCTTTGAAGTGCACCTCAGTCACAGCTACAATCGTGAAGAAAGAGCAATGAGTCCCTTTCCTGCCGTCTGCTTTATTAATATAAGTTCGACAGTAAGCTCTTTGGCATGACAGGAGATAGAATAAATGGCTTCAGCAAATGATTGTTCAGGTCATTCTCAGTTAGACCAGGATTCGTGCCACAGACTTCTCCATGACAACCATTAATGTAAAGCCATGAGCATCCACCAGCAGACCCAATTAGAGCAAGACTTGCTCGCAAATGCCACATATATTTCCTCAGCATTGGATCGCTAAGGAGCTGGCCTGGGGAAGGGGAGCGGGAGAGGTGTGTGTGTGTGTCTCTTTAACTGATGAAACCATTAAAACTGAGGCAGGTAATATACCTGCATGTGACTCTCACTGTTGACCTCTGAAATGTAGAGGGAGCTCAGCACTGCTTATCGATCAGCACTCCCAAGTCAACGAGGATTAAAAAAAAGAGAAAAACTGTTACGGCCAACGACAGAAATGATTACAATTGATGCCGTTTCTCTGGCTCAACACCACCATCGCCCCCACGATTCATTTGCCTCTGGAGCATAGGGAGAAAGCATCAGCTATAACACTGTCAAATGCACCAGCAACCATTGCAGATAGAAGGAAGATGGCGTGGGCGTGGATGTGATTGTGCCTGTAACTGTTTCTAATCTACAGCACACAATCACAAGGGAAGTTCACATGAAGAAGACACTTCAGTTCATTCAATCTCATACCCACTCACTCTACCTGCATTTGAAATGAGCCCAATGACCTGGCCTCACCCACGCTTCCTGGTAACCTGTCCCAGTTGTTAATTTCCCTCTAGGTAAAGAAACACTTCCTAACTTCTGTCTTGAAATTGCCTTTTGCAACTCGTCCTCATGTCCTGCTGACTCAGTCTGCATTATGCCAATGAAGTTCTATTATCCAACAACAACACCTTGCATCTATGCAATACCCTTCACTAGGGTAGGCACATCCCAGCACTGAACAGTAGCGCAGTTTACTCCGAGCTGGGGAGACGGGGGAGGTGCCTAGTAGAAGAGGAAAGTCTTCAAATATGACGTGAAGACAGGTAAAGGAGGGGGCGAGGTGGCGGGATTGAGGCAGGGAGTAACAGAGGTTTTGAGGGCATAGCCTGATGGGGCGAGTCGAAGAGTGGGATGTCAACAGGTTGGAGATGTAGGGAGTTGCTAGGGCACAAAGTGATCTGTAGCAATGATGTCTGTGGATTAATGTTTCATTGCTATGATGCTTCTCTTTTTCAGACTCTGGAAACCTGCAAGTATGAATTGATAGTCCAGGCCAAAGACATGGCGGGCAGTGATGTGGGATTAACTGGCACAGCAACAACAACTATCATCATTGACGACAAGAATGACCATGCCCCAGAATTCACTAAATCTATGGTAAGTGGACAACAAGCCATTTCTACCCCCAGCCCTGCTTGTTTCACTCTAGACTCGAATTTACGGGATTTCTTAACGGATTTCTTGTTGCGAAACGTGTAATCAATTTTGAAAGCATGAAGGTGTGGAAAAATGCATTTTTGGCACCTTCAATGTTTTGGAAATTTGGACATTTGAACATTACTTATCAAGAAACCCATTAAGAAACATCGCATATTGACTCCTCTTCCTCTCCATTTCCGAATTTTCACTTACAGCTTTACTGCGTTTTCTAAAGATTGAGCACTTCTGTGTGATTGATGTATTAATGGTAGGATTTGTTAGGGATTTTTTTTTTGCAATTGTTGGAAATTTGCCCAGACTAAGTTGTTCTATTTATTTGAAGGGAAAAATGCATTTTATAAGAATTTATTTCTTATTAGAATTCAACTTGCCACTCACAGGCATCTGCCATCTCTTAGTGCAGCATGTAATCTCAGTAACTAATAAAGAGATAACAGAAACCAGGCAATGGCAGATGAAGAAAGTTTGTGTTCATAAATGTAGATGTATTTGGAACAGTAATGTACTTAAAAGTAATGTTCCCTTGGCAGCCATCCACCACAGTTGAATGGATTAGATGACAACCTCACTTTAAAGCGCATTATAAACACTTGCAAAGTAAATACCTTCAGAAGAAAATGAATTTTGATATAATAATCCTTCTAATAATAATCCATCCATCTGATTTAGCGCCTTATCACGTCTCCAAGACATCTCAAAGCGCTTCACAGAATATACTGTAAAGTGAGTTGACTGTATATTTTGTGGGCGAAACGATATTAGGGCTAACGTCACAGATTTCTGTGTCTCAGCTGTTGTAGGTTATGGAAGGCTATACGATTCTGTAGTTGACTGCATGTGGCTAAGTTCAAATCAAGCATCAGACAGGCAAGCCTAAGGTTTAATGCTTAATATTCTTGCTTGTTATATTTTTCAACAAGCGGAAAATGAACTGAGGAACAGAAGTACGGATCTAAAATAATAGCTGAGCTACTTTGTTTAATAGCTGAGCTACTCTGTTTAATAGCTGAGCTACTCTGTTTAATAGCTGAGCTACTCTGTTTAATAGCTGAGCTACTCTGTTTAATAGCTGAGCTACTCTGTTTAATAGCTGAGCTACTCTGTTTAATAGCTGAGCTACTCTGTTTTCCTGAAGTCAACAATTTGATACTGTCCTTAAGTGGAAATGTAGCATAATATTATTGTTTTAGTTTTAGACAAATAAATAGACCTATTTTTCCAATTAGATAGATTAGCCTATAAACATTTGCTTCATATTCACTTCAGTCAGTTTCCACTGGTCCAAATCTTACAGCCTTTGTATTTTCCTGCGCTGGCTACGATAATCTATCTGCAAACCTCATCTCAGCCAAGCCAGAATAAATGTTGGGAATTACTGAAGGAGATACTATCCCGTGTTGTTTTTGGACTGCACCAGCGACTGGGCACCGCTTTCTCAGCTTCTGTTATATTTGCAGAAAGCAACCGGCGTTAGAATTTTGTTAGTTGATGGAATAGCATTTTCACTCACCGCTGACTCCGAGGCGAAAGGCAATGATAGGAAAGTGAAATAGGCATCTGTCAGTTGTGGTCAGGTTTTTCAAGTAACTGTGCATTCATGACCTTCAGATATCTATTCCCACTCGCCGGTGTGTCCAACTCCTCCCGACACAAGCTGTTGACTATTCAGGACTCCTGCACCAGGCTCCGTGAACCGATCACCCCACATCCTCGCTTCGCTCCACTGATTCCCCGTCCCCTCGTATGGATCGAATTGAAGATCCTTTTCCTCACTTTCAAATCCCTCCATGACCTCGCCTCTCCCCCCCCCCTTCCCCAATCCCACTACCATCTCTGTGACTTCCACTTACCTTCCAAAAGCAAAACCCTTTCAATGTGGAAAAAAACTCTACTGTGTAATATGTCAATGATTAAATACAAGCAAAGACTATGCAGGCCATTGCCTACAGTGCCAGCCAAAGTGCTGTTCAGCTGTAGATGTATTTGTGCTGTCATATGACTTTGATGCCTTGTTATTTTGCCATTACAAGAACATTTGGCGATTCTAAATGAAATGCGCTTTTAACACCAAGCGTTGGTTAATCTCCGCAGTCCTATCCGTTTTGTTTGAGGGGACCGCAGTTTCCCGATATGGGAAAATCTGCCAGTATGTTAGCATTGATCATTGCCCTATCGTTACTGCCCACCCTTATAAAGCACGAGTACACAAATCACTCAAGTTGAATGATCAACAATTCTGTACAGACCTGAATTCTCATTGATGGTGTCTCATCAATGCTTAGAGGGAAATCTATCAGTGGAGGTGCTGTGAAAAACCCTTGGAGTTTAAAAATAGCGATAATCAATTGGAAACACTGTACTGTTAAGTATAATACAAATGCAGATGGAGCTCTACACCAGAACTACATGAAACATCAGATACTTTTTTGAGTTAAATGTATCAGTTAAGTACATATTACAAGTTGTTTTTGAGGGCCAGCCGTATCCATTAAAATACAAGCAACAAACTCTTACAAATTGCAAAGCAAATACCATTTCGTCTTCAGTTTAATTAAAATGCCAGTACTTGTTGTCAGCTCAATATCTGGAGGAAGACTGAGTTCAAAGACTTGATGTGTTAAGCTGCATTGCTCTGCCAAGGAAGAAATGCTGAGTGCCTCGACTGGTAACTGGGTATCGTTGTTCAACCTGCAACAACAGCAAGATTGTATTAGGTCGAGGCTTACGGGATAGGTTTGTCTTGTAAATCCGGCAATGTACTATCTCCATAGCCTGAACTATGGTGTTTGAGCCTAAGGGGAGGTTGTCCGTTGTGGTGATCGATATATTACTGCTGGATGTCATTCATTTATTGGGAAAGCGATCTATTCATTGCCCCTTTGGTAGTGAATGTCTGGAGGGTTACGTCTGCTGAGCCCAATTCTGTTCGTTTTGCCTATTCCTTTCCAAGACACAGATGTCCCAACAGCGTAAATGACAGCACTCTCTCTGGCTGGCAAGTTAATATTCCCTAATGCCCGGCCATTTGTAAACCGTTTATTACCCATCCGATTCATGCCATATGTTTCAATCTTCAAGCACAGCACATAAGATATTTTACAGCCTGATTCAGACTGCCCCCTCTAGATGAAAAGCATCATTTTCCTTCACTTTGCAGAATAAGGAACCATTGCACAATAGGAAAGCAACCAGTGATCAAAGGGACTGCTTATTCTCTCTTACTGCAAAAGGGCTTCAGACAACCGGATGAGAAAGTTGGCTGCTGGTTAGCTGACCGTTTACAGCAAATAAGCTGAGGGAACAAAGACAAGATGCCCGCATAACTTATATCTGTGACAGGAATTGGACTGAAGTGAGCGTAATAAGTCACCTCTTACACAGTCCACAATCTGCAACACATAAGACGTTTCACAATAGTCTCATCAGTTGCACGTTGAGCAAAAATATATACAATACAATTTATATCACACCATTCACATCGGAAGTCCTTGTCGTGTTCCTCACTGAAGGCAGGACATGTATTGCACTGTGCAAAGCTTCCCACAATGTGTAACATATGATACAATCTGATTTTTTAATACCAATTTATCGGGTGGCACCCGAAAATGATCGTTGAATACTCAACTATAATCAGGGAAAGATAACAATAAACAGAAGAACGTACAACTCCCCCCTCCCCACTCGCCCCACTCCTACACAGAAAATAGCATCAAACAGGTCAAGGCACCAAATTGACCATCTAGTGTTCGATCTGCAATTCTGCACTAAGAGTAGTTGTGACAATTGGCAGCACATTTGTGCAATAACTGACAGTTTTACTTCTCTATTCAGGTCAATTCTAAAGAGTAAGATGCGTTTTGATAAATGCCGTTTAAAGATGTTCACACTAAAGATGTTAAACGCTGCTCATTTTATTAATAGCAGGAAAAGGGGAAAAGATTTGCCAAACAGAAAATACTCGTGACAACTGGAGAGGAAAAGATTTTGCTGAAATCCATTAACATTGCAGTTAAGGATGTTTGAAGGCACTTCAATGGTGCAATATGTTACTGCACGAACATTGCCATTTATTGAGAGTAATTAGAGACTAAAGAGGTAATTTTAATCGATGTTCCTGCACAGTTCTTTATTGACATTTTGTGAAGAAAGTGTGATCTTCACGCAACAATTTGTCACCGACTGATGCCAGAAAAAGATGTTTATTGAATCCCGGGGGTTCTGTCCCAGTACCAATTGACCAATAATGTGTGGCTAAGCGTTGACACAAACTGCCTTGCATGCTTCTGCAATGTCATTTCTCATCATCTCAAAAGTTCAGTTTATCTCTAGAGAACACATCAAATATATATCTTTTCAAATTCCAACGGAAGATTGAATAATACTGATGTACAGTGAAAACTCACCAATAAGAATAATAGTAATGATAATCCGTGCATTTTTATACAGTCTTATCATGTCATCAAAATGCCTCTAAAAACACTACATGGGATTTTTACTGTAAAGTGTAGTGCCTGTGTATTTGTAGGCAAAATGAGCAAAGAGATTGCAAAATATTAATCATGTCAGCAGGTTGACCACATGAGTGAGTTTGTGCTTCTGTGTTAATCAGTACAATAATAATAATCCCTGCATTTGACAAAGCACCTCATCACGTTGTTGAGACATCTCAAAGCACTTCATAGAATATATTGTAAAGTGACTGGACATTTTGTGGGCAAAACGCAGCAGCCAATTGCACACTGAAATATAAAAAAAAAGTATGGAATGAAAATTTGCACAGATCTGACCACACAAGCGAGTTGACCACATTCTTTAGGTGATCTTAAAGTGAGTGCCCACTTTGAGATGTTTGTTGACGAGAAAGCTTATTGCATTCTGTGAACCCGCAGAGGACTCAGTGCTCAAGGCCTTCGTTTCCTTCCAGGGTAGAGTAACGTGAAGTGTTAACTTGATGTCTTGTATCAGTTCCAGGCAACGGTGAAAGAGGGATTTACTGGGACGATAGTCAATCTGACTGTGGAGGACAAAGATGACCCAGCGACGGGAGCTTGGAGGGCCGTCTATTATATCATCAACGGAAACCCTGACAACAACTTTAAAGTTCAGACCAATCCAAAGACCAACGAAGGAATGCTGTTAGTTGACAAAGTGAGGATCTTTTTTGGTTCTTGGTCTGTTTGCCCTTGTAAATCCCTCTCGTGTCACAGATTTACAGGGTGGGTGTCTGACACATGCAGAAAGCCATCACCCTGCTTAAGACTATCCAAACCTGTTTCTGTGCTTAAGAATATCCAAACAATTTTCACTTGAAGAAATCAAAAGGTGATAAATTGTTTAAAGGAACATCTCCAATGACAATTATTTAAATATTGTTTCATTTGAAATCGATACTAATAATAACCTTAGCATTCAATACCGTGCCTATAATGTCAGATGTCCCGAAGTGTTTTTGTCAAGCGTGACTGTGGATTTGGCAGTGAATGGGACAGTCAATTTGCTCGCAGCAAGGTCCCACAAACGTATATGCAGCGAGGGACCAATTTTATCTGGGGGATTGTTGGCTCGGAAACCAGGCGACACTTCCTTCTCTCTTCAAGTAGTGTCAACGGTTTCTTTAACATCCAGCCTTGGTGTAACATGTCAGAAGGACGGCACCTCTGACCAGTGCAGCACACCCCCAGCATTGCACTCGAGTGTCAATATAGACTGTGCGTTCAAAGTCCTATTGTGGGGCTTGAACCCACAACCTTCTGACCTGGAGACCTACCAACTGAGCCAAGTTGGTCATGAAATGCTTCAAAGAAATGACATTCTACCTATAATTGTAGATTCTGTGTTTTCTTTTAATTATTACTGCTTTTGTTTTGTAAAAAAAAAGTGATTTTATTTCAGCCCTTAGATTATGAACGATCTGCATTCCACACCCTCCTGATTAAAGTCGAGAATGAAGACCCAATCATGCCAGAGATCAGCTTTGGACCCAGCTCCACAACCACGGTGCAAGTCACAGTCCTCGACGTGAATGAAGCACCCATTTTCAATCCAAACCCAACACCGGTGGTCAAGCCGGAGAACATACCAGTAGGCAGCATTGTGGTGACACTGAATGCAACTGATCCAGATATTCTTCAGAAGCAGACAATTAAGTAAGTGTGGAAAGCCAGGTTTGGATGGTCTAAAAGATCCAAAGATTCATTGCCATTTTACTTGGTGCGTGAGATACGTCTTTGTTTTTACAATCGCACAGTCTTAATTTGAATTAGTCCAGCCAACAGTCATCGTAACAATGACGAGTTTCATTGCTAGAAGGAAGAAGGAGGAAGGTTGGGAACGGGTTTACGTAGTAGAAAGTATAACCGAACACATTGCTTCACCACATCTCCAGTGGTACCTAATGCAAGCGATGTATATCAATGGCATGTTTTTCAGTGGAGTCCTTCACACATTTCCACTGATACTTTCGGATGCACCAAGACAGCGGAACAAGTGGACATAGGCGATTCAAAAGGCGATTTCAGTACAGACACCAAAGATGTTTTTTCTTCACCCAGAGGGCAATTGACAACAGGAACATGGGTTGCCAGGAAGGGTGGTGGAGGCCAGGACACTGGACTCATTTAAAAAAGAGCTTGATACTGTGGTGGGAAGACGATAAGGAGCGTTTTCTGGAGGGATGAGGTCAGATGAGCCAAAGGGCATTTTTCATCTGAACCAAACTTGGGTTCAGTGTCTAACAACTGTAAAGCACTCTGATACATTACTCCATGTGAAAGGGGGCTGCATAAATCCAATTTGCTGATGATAGCAGCTGCCTCTGCAGGGATACACAAGTGAAGCGTAACATAAGCACAAGTAATACATAAGTGAAGTGTGAGTGAAGTGCAAAAAAAAAGTACATTTAAAATTTGTTGGAAGCTTGCCTTTTCCCTGCACAGCAGACGTATAAAAAGAAGTGAAGTGAGAACAAATGGAACCATTGAATAAAGCGCAATCCTATTTCTGTTGCTGGAACTATGGATTAGTGATTAAAGTTTCTCACACAGTCTCGCCTGCAGTGGAGCTTTGTGGTATCATAAATCGTTAGCTTGAAAAATGCTTATTCTTTAGCAATGAGTCAATTAAAATCAGCACAAACATGAAGTGAGTATGAAACACAATTGAGTCACATCAACTGGGGAATCCAGATTCCGATAGCTTAATTTATTTAAGTTAATCCTAACCATTCATTTCTCAAAATACATTTCTGCTTTTGGGTAGTTTCATCCATCCCTATTAATTACAATTCACGGATTCCTGATCATTTTTTTAATGGAATTTCTAATCTTTGATTTTTTTTAATTATGGGAATCAAATACATTTATTTCGGCGCGGATGTGAGAACATTAATTACCATATAAATCTGTTGCAAAAACAAAATGTAATCAGGTGCGGCGACTGTGTTTGTGTCAACTTCACATTAACCTTTATCATGCTAAATAAAAGAGGTGGTAGGGTGGGGGAGAGGGTCAAAATCCAGCAAATGCTGTGACGTGTGCTTTGAACTCTAAAAGCTGAAATAGATCTATCCTGAGAATTTACAATTGTGATTTCTAAACACACTCAAGGCTATTATCACTGAGCGAGATTAAGTACGTAGGGATTTTAATTGCCGCAAGTGACTTTGCCGCGATAGAAACAATTAAGAATCATATTTCTCCAGAATAAATAACAAAGCAAACAGAAATACAAATAATACCAGCGCGAAGCTGCCAATTGTGTACAATTTATCATCGTGCACTTTTCTAATTAGACCGAGTTATCACAATGATTTATATTCATCCCCGAGTTTTTTGGTTGAGAAGCTGTTTCTATTTATAAAGGAGTTAGGAATACAGTTGTTGACAATCCAGCTGTTTAGGCCAGATAAAGGTGGAACAGGACATGTATTGTTTTCTGCCCTCAGGACAAGATTGAAATAAGAGGGATCTCACCATCAATATTCATTTTGCCTCCTCAGGCTGCTTAAAGGCCCGGGAAAATTCCCATCTCCCTGGGCCCAGAAGGTTTTGCATGATTACAATGCGACGGATGAAACTGAAAATGAACAGCGCCAGCCACAGAGTCATTGCGTTGCACAAGCAACTTTGTTACTACGATAGAAACTTTACAGAACTACAACGGACCATTCAAACACCAATTTAATTGGTAAACCAAATGTTAAATGCTGCAAACAGTTGTAACATGCGTGTGGCTAGCGATGAGAGAGCCGTAGAAATTTACAGCACAGAAGAAGGCCATTTGGGCTATCATGTCTGTGCTGGCTCTTTTAAAGAGCGATCCTTTCAATCCCCCCGTTCTCCATACCCCTGTAGTTTATTCCTTTGACTGCTTTAGATTTTGTCCTGGATCACAGCTTCAGAATACTTCCAAGTCACTCGAAAGATCTCTGCAACATAAATAAATACACCATCAATGAACCATATACAATTTGCCATGTCATGGATCCGGCCTGAATGATTTAATCTCCCGTAAGAAACAACCAACCGTATGAAAAGCTTTCTCCCCTGATCCTCAAAAGGCAACTGAACAAAACCCTTTGAGATATCAGTGTAACATCACAAGCTACATTATATAACCATGATCGATTGTATTCTATGGGCAATGCTCCCAAGGTCACATTAGCTTTGGAGCCAAAGTGCTCCATGGAGTATTTGATGATCTAAGTCCTGGAATCGGCATTCTTTTTNCGTCGCTAGGTATTTGTTCAGCGTTCTATTAGAAGTGTTGAGTGACGTGGCATTAATTACCCACATGGGCAAATTATCCCATAAAACCTCCCGCTGTGAGCAAAGTCTATTCCTTTGATTTCTATTATTTTCCCCCGAGGCTTTCAATTTTATGTTCCAGTTCTACAATCCGACTCTTAAGTGACTAGATAGCAGCGGTTTCATTGTTTCCTTGGCTTGTGCCTTGCTGTGTGCAAGCCATTGCAGGGAAACAAGTGATGATTTAATGGGACTTGCCAAGGGAGGAGAGGAAAGGTGTATTAAGAAGCATTGAATATTATTAAGATGTTGTAATATTGATCTCTAGGTGTGAACTGGATGTGATTTCAGTTGCATCTGTGACATGATTGTGGCTTGCAGCTGCTTTGTGCTTCTCAACCTGGAATTCCTACCTATTGTATGGGTAGATACTTTCAATTCCACCCTAAAACCAACCTCTTCAACACGACTATGGTCACCTCTCCCTCCCCTTCTCCCTTGCTCGGAGTTCAAGCAAACTACTCCGATGCATTATCCAGGGTGAAGGATGCTGTGCAAACACTTGTTGATGTAGAAGTATTAAAATGGTACCACTCTATCAGGGATGATATTGTAACCGAAAGCTCTATGCAGTAATTAATGTGCAGTTTACTGTAGCTTATGATGCATTATAACTGCTGTTATATACATATACACTTTAAAAGATGTACAATGGGGGCATTTTCGACCACAGAATATACAGTCAATTCACTGTACAGTATATTCTGTGAAGAGCTTTGAGACATCTCAACGACGTTATAAGGCGCTGTATCAAATGCAAGGATTATTATTATTTATTACTTTACAGGTTAATAATTAGCGCTCTTGCTTTCATGTGAGGTTGGTGGGGGGGGAGATTTTTAAGTGTGTAAAGAATGTTTCCTATGAACTGCCTTTAGAAGTGGATGGTGGTAAACGGAGCTCAGTTACCATCCTGTGCATATTTATTTTGTTTTTCCAGTGAGCTCTGCCGCCAGCAGATGAGTCCTGTAGCTTTACTGGTTGTTAGTCGATTGGCGGATTGCTTTTCCAGGGGGATTAATTCCTTCAAAAACAAAACAAAATTATTATTATTAGATCCTCTATATGACATTTCAAGGCATTCTTTATACATCGAGCTTCCCGATTTCATAATAATAAAATAATAATAAACCTTGCATTTGATGTAGCACCTTATCACATCATTGAGACGTCTCAAAGCGCTTTACAGAATATATATTAAAGTGGATCGACTGCGTATTCTGGGCGGCGAAATTTAGAGTGCTGCATTATGACTTTTGTGTTATTACATTCATCTACAAGCAAAGAGTTCCTACACTTTACAGTAAATCCTGTGAAGCGCTTTGAGATGTCCTTCCGACGTGAGAGGCACTGTGCGGAATCCAAGTATTATTCTTTTTTTTCTAATAATCCTTACATTTAATCCTCACCTGTCGGTTCGGTTCATTGATGCCTGATTTGGGCTACTTTCTTTGAGTTTTCTCTAGCAATTTAGTGCTTGGCTAACACTGCACACACTTAATACTGGAAAAGAGCCTCAAGAAAAAGCATATTGGAAATCCATAGCTATAGATGAATAAAATGCGACCGACGTGCTCAGAACAGTAATGGAAATTGGATTGTGAATCAGCCTACATGAATCGAATCCCCAAATAGTACAGAAAATTAGGGATGTGAAAAAGTTGGGAAGGAATGAAAAGTGCAAAAACAAAAAATATGGGGGAAAGGTCGAGAGACAAAAACAATTATCTTATGCTAATTAATTATCTTAAATTGGGTTGTTGCGTGAACCGCGTGATGTAAAAGTTCAGTTTCTGTGGCAAATGGATATTATTGATTTAATTCATTGTGCCCTCTCAATAGTGCTTTCATTTCAGAGCAAACACCGCTCTTTACTGATCTACTGTGGGGGGAAAGTGCAGCACCTGCTCTCAGCTGGAGCTCGACCATTAAAAGTTAACTGGTACATGATTATGTAGCGTTATATTTGTAGCGTTTCGCCCACAAATATACCGTCAATTCACTTTACAGTCTATTCTGCCAAGCGCTTTGAGACGTCTAGAAGACGTGAAAAGCGCAGTATCAAACGCAAGGATTATTTTTATTATTTCTCTCGCAGAGACTGGAGAATAAATTAAAAGCATTAATTCAGCCATTAAAGCAAAACGCATCAATTCTAAAGTGAAAAGGGGGCGGTAGAGGAAAGAGACAACCAGCATCCCTGTTTACCAGTCCATACAGCAAGTTTGAATCTGTCCAATATGGTGAATGTTACATCTGGAGCCAGGCTGGAGTGTAGATTGATAGTGCAAGGGAGGTTTTGAGAAAGCTGTCGACCAGGGACTATTAATCAGGCACTGGGT